CCCTAGATAAAGATGCCTTATAAGATAAAATTACTTTTAATCTTTAGGACTTACTGCTAGCTAAGGATAGCTTAGGTATACTAAGTGTACTACTAATTAATAGTTAACACTAAGGATATACCTTTATAAGCTTCTTTAATTAAAGTGTCCTTTTTTACTAATTCTATATAAAGGCATAAGGGATAGATAAATTAGGAGAAAGCTTTAGGAAATTACGCTACTTATAGCTACTTTACTAAGGTAATTAATAACTATAAGAAGAAGTCTATAACTACTATCTTTCTTACCTTAAAAACCCTAGCTTACCTTACTTAAGAAGCTTAAGTTAGCTATTAACCTTATTACTATTATCTTTAAGATAAAGAAACTAATTAATTAAACCTCTACCTTTTTTAAGAAGAACTTTAGTAAAAACGTAAAATTATTATCCTAATTCTAAGTAATCCTTTAATAAACCTCTAAGTTATATATAGAATTACTTTTTTTAAAGTTTACCTTACTACTTTTAATAAAGTCTTAGTACTTTTTACCCTTACTAGCCTATACCTTTAGTTCCTTTAAAGTATTATTAAGCTAAAAGTACTTAATTAAAATTAGCTTAATATTTAGGTTAATTAATAAAAAGACTTCTTTACTACTATTCTTATACTTAGAATACTTTCTATTATCTAGCTTAGTCTTATAACTACTAGTAAACTAATAATTATTATTAGATTAGTAGTTATAACTAGCGCTAGACTCCTAAAATATATAATTAGCGTACTAATTTAAGAACTCCTTAGGAAAAGATATACACTTAAAATAAGAAGCTATAACCTAGATATCCCCCTCTAGATCTAGACTAACTTACTTCTAGAAGCTATAAGTATAGTAACTATATAGTATAATATTATAAACACTATATACCTAAATTAAAAGTAAGTTAACTATAAGAGTATAACTAAGAAGCTTCTAGAATAGCACTTTAAAGTAACTAGTGTAGGCCTTACTTATAAAGACGTAATATATAAAGATAAGAGAGCTACTTATAAGACTAAGATTTATTAAGATTTTATATAAGATAGCCTAATTTATATATAACCCCTAAAAGTTAATTATTACTTAACTAATAGTTTTATTACTAAATAAAGTAATAATTTAAAGCTTATAATATAGCTTCCTAACTAAGCCTAGTAGCTTATACTAGATAGTATACTTTAAATACTAAAAGAAACCTATAATTAGTAATAGCTTTAAAAAGGAAAGGACTAATTAACTTATAACTATATAATTTAAAGCGACTTACTAGAAATAGTATAAGATATTCTAGCTCTTAAGGAACTTCTTACTAGGTATAAAGCTTAACTACTACTAAGGATAGATCTATATAAGCAGGTTATAATTAACCTTATAATTATTAATAGCGTTTAGGTTAGATATATTAACTATTAATAATAATAGATCTAAAAACTAAGATAGTAAGGTAAAAATTTAAGTTAATTAATAAAAGTAGTTATTAATAAAAGGGTTTAAAAGTAGGTTAATAAGGAAAAGATTTTCTTTTTTATCCTTAGGAAGGTTAATCTACTAAAAAGGAAGATATAGTAAACTAATCTAGGTAGGTAAGAAAAAGAACTAACTAACTAATTTATAATTAGCCTAAAGGAATAATTTACTACCTTACTTACTAATAATAAGTAAATTACTTCTTTTTTCTCTTAATTTTACTTTATTTACTAGGTTATTTCTTCCTAGCTCTAATTAAGGCCCTCCTTTACTTATTACTATATTAACCTACCTTTTTTTTTCCTAATTAATTTTTTTTTTTTTACCTTTTTAATAATAATAATAATTATTTAAGTAATAATCTAGTTATTTTTTATAAAAGCTACTTTCTTCCTTATACACTATTAAACTTAATCTTTTTTTTTATTATAATTACTACTTAAAATTATACACTACGCTATATACCTACTAAACCTAAGACTAATTACTTTTTTTTTTTTATAACTAAATACTACTATAATATCTTCTATTAGCCTAATCTTTTCTTCCTTATAGAACTATAGCAGTATAGCTACCTAGATTTAGTGCCCTTATACTATTTATAACTTTAAGAATAACTTATATAACTATATAAGACGCTAGTAATTAAACAGACTAATTAGATTTAAGACTACGCTACTAGCTATAACTAAGGAAGCTTAAAACTTCTAATTTATTAATCTTAGTATAAATAACTACTTTAGCTACTAGACTTAGGTATACCTATAAGTTATACCTATCTAAAATAGTTTTATACGCTTTATTCTAACTAAACTTAATATACGTTTTCCTAACTAGCTTCTTTAGGAGGATATAAATTAGTTCTTATAATAGTAACTAGCAGCCTTTATAATTTAGGATAGCTACTAAGAATAGTAAGGCTAGAGTTACTAAAAAGTAAAAGCTATCCTCTTTAATTACTATAACCTATAGGGTTAACTACTTTAAAGAGATTAGATAAGGAGGGATAAGATTACTATAGTATTAGAGGTTATAACTTAAAACTTATTACTAGTCTGTAATATTATAGTAGTTCTAATTAGCTAGAAATATTTTACTAATCTAAATATTACCTTAGTCTTAGTTCTTTAGTTACCTACTACTTATAAAGTAATTAAGACTTTTATATATTTAGTCCTTTTTTTACTATTTATTAATTATCTTAAACACTTTATAAGAATAATTATTAACTAATAAAATAATATAGTCTATTAGTATAACCCTCTTTAGGAGGCAGGCTAATCTAAGGTAATCTTTATTAATAATATCCTAGCGCTCTAAAGATTCTACTAAGATATAAGGGCCTTACTATATATTAAGAATCTAATTAACGCTAGTGCTTATATTATTAACATAGCCTAACAGCCTAGCTTATAGGAGTATAGCCTCTATATTTTAGAGTAGTTCTAAATAGTAGTTTAGTATAGTAAATTATACCTAACTAAGAATTTTATCTTCTAAAGTAATAAAATAAAAAGTATACTAAGTAATTAAATATATATATACTAGATTTAGTAAATTAGCTATAAGTTTTACTATAAAGGTAACTAAGTTAATAATACTATATATAATACTTTAGGAATATATCTTAAGGATATTTATAGTTAATATAGAAATATTTATATAAGGGTACTAGTAGGCGCTAAATTAGACTATATAATTATTAAGAAGCTATATATAAGGCTAGGCTTTATAGTATTAATTAAATAAAGTATACTAACTAATCCTTAGATCTTTAGCTTATATTATTATTAATTAGTTACTAGTTAGAGATAGCGCTTACTACTTAGACTATTACTAGGCTTTATACCTTAAAACCTACCTAATTAGTCTGTCTTAGTAATAAATACTATTAAAAGAAGGTCTAATTCTAAGTATACTCTAATAAGTCCTATACCTTCTAGTTAAATATTACTAGTTACTTTATAACTAATTCTCTAGACGCTTAATATAATACTATAATTAGAGAGACTTATATATTTACTTATAAACCTATATTTACTTTTTATTTTATCTAGGCTAACTTTATTATTAGTTACTAAAACTAGGCCTCTAGCTTAGGTTTTACTTAAGATTAAAGACGTTATAGAGGATAACCCTCTAACTTAGGCTTAACTACTTTAAAAACCCCTATTAATTAAGTAATATAAAGGCTTATAGCTAAAAGATATAACTTCTTAAGATCTAAACTTATAGTTAGAATAAGTAAATTATAAGTTAACACTTAGTAAGTTAGAGCTTAATTAGTAAGAAGCTAATAAGTTACTTTAATAAAAGGCTATAAATTACTATTATTAACTACTATACTACTAAAATAAGCTTTTTAAGAAACTAGTAATTAATAAGTATATATAAAAAAAATAAGTTAATTAATATAATAACCTAGTTAATAAGTTAGCTTATATAACCCCTATATATACGCCTTAGGTACTACTGTTATTAAGCTAGGATTAAGAGGGCTAGGATTAAGAGGATATAGGGCTTTAATAGGATTACGTAAAAGAGGTATATAAGCAGGAGGCAGAAGCTAAGAAAAAGAATAAGAAGAAGGGCTAATACTAATTTACTATAAAGGTAGTTATATAAAGGCTAATCTTAAGGATAATTTCTCCCTAAAAGGACTTATAAAAAAGAAATTAGGGGATAATTAGAGCAAGGTAAGGTAATTAGCCTAAAGTAAGGTAGTATGCAGACTAATTAGAAGATTTTAATCCTAATTAAGTATAAAGATATAAGTTAGTATTAATAGGTTTAAAGATAGATATATATAATTTATCTTTTATACTTATACCTACCTTCTAATTAAACTAAAGCCTTTTTATAATTTACTTTTAATTATAATAATATAAGATAATTAGGAGTAATTACCTACCTAATTAGGGTATAATTATACTTAATCCTATAGTTTAACACTTATAATTAATATTAATTCTAGATAGATTAAGACGATTTATGCACTAATTAGTAAGGAATCTTGTGTTACTTTTAGTGGTTATAGTGTTCTATATAGTCACCGCACCGCAAGAGTCCTCATACCCTACGCGCTTTTAGTATTTTATATATACTAAAATCCTCTAAGAAATCCTTTACTTCTAGAGGTATAAAAGTATCTTAAATTCTCGTCTCTAGATAGGGGCCGTGGGGGTGCTTACGATGTGACAACCAGGCAATTGTTGTATACGGCGTTTACGTCCGTGTGTGATGGTTTCATACATGGAAGGAGTAACAAGGTCTCTTGTAATACCAGTGAAAATGCAGTAACCGGAATTGCTAGATGCCTGGTCTCGACCATATATGTTCCTACTGCCTCCTGCTTGCCTGGCATTACATATATAAAGATCCATTCATATCCATGATTGTCGACAAAGAATTTCCCTCTGTATTACTCTTCACTTCACCAAAATTGAGTCCATCTGATTATTGATCATTATATTTCTATTCTTTCCTCGTCAAATCCTTTCTGCACGTAGACAACTATGGTTCAGCCAACTCTCGTCGCCTCCAGGCTTACGCAGAAGCCACCTAGTCTCACAATGCCACAGGCTGGCAATTACCCCGTGCCACAAGACAATGAGTCGCAGGTCGACTCTGCTGCCGAGTCTTTGGCGTACTCCCCCTGCTCAGAAAACGAATTGGGTCAAGGGGAGAGATCAATTCCTGAGAATCCCTTCGATAGTGAAAGTAGCAGGATTCTATTTGAAGCTATCGATCGACTTCAATCTTGCGGTGTCAGCCAGGAGGTGGCCATACCCCAGGTTCGTTTACATAACGCGCTCTTTTCTAACTTATCTTGTGGGAGCACAAGAGCAACGAAGTGAGGCACAATAGCAATGGTATTGTGGTGATCTGTAGTGGTGTGTGGTGGTAAGGAGGAAATCCTCCTCTCAAGCCCATAGGCAGAGGCTGGATGAAGGTGAGGGGCCCAGGAGGTCACGTGACCTCCCAGCACACAGGCCCCCTCACAACACTCCCCCTCAGGCTCTACTAACTCAATGAATATCGTACATAGGGGCAAAATAACAGCCTAATCTTAAATCCTCTAAATCTAAGGAGTTTTTAAAGTATTTAACAACTTTAGCTATACGCTAGTAATTATCCTATTAGTCTGGTAATAATTAATCTATACGCTAAAATCCCTACGTAACGTAAATCCTCTAAATATATATCCTCTATAATGGCCTATATAGCTCTTTAATCTAACCTATTTACTATACCTAATAACTATATAAAATCCTTATGTTTATTTAGTGCTAGTAGCTTAGTAAGCCTATTAGTAGCTATTTTAGTACCCTTAATAAGTTAGAGGGTAATATTCTTTTAGGTGTAGACCTCTTATATTATCTATTTATATTAGATATTAATACTTTAAGTATATACCTTATTAAGGGGATTTATTATATTAACTATTATATTAGTACTATTAGTAAAGAGGATAGTTAGTATATCTAATAGTTAGCTAAGGAGCTACTTAGTATAGTAGTAAATCTACTTTATAGTAATAGTAGTAAGTATAAGGTTAATAAACTTTACCTTTATAAAGCTTAGAGTAATAAAGGTCTACTTCTTTAACTTCTAGGTAATTAGTAATCCTATAAAGTAAATAATATAACTACCTATAGAAACCTATAATAAGTAATTATTAGTAAAAAAAGTATTTACTGTTATATAGAGGCTAACGTTAGTAAAGAGGTCTAGTCTACTAAATAAGATACTATAATAAGTAGTGCGTTTAAGATAGTAAAAAAGATACTTAATAGCAGCTAGATAGGTAGATAATAGGCTAGTATTAGCCTAAGAGAGCTTACTAACTATAAAAGTAATATCTAGGCGTATACTAGTAGCTAACTAGTTAAGGTAGCTAGTCTGCTTAATATAGGTTTATTAGTTAGATTTAGAACACTTATTTTTTACCTATATAGTAAGTAACTTATAGTTAGTAAGTAATAAAGTCTTAATAGATTAAAGATTACTATATCTAAAGTAATAAAGTATACTATTAGTATACTTATATTAGTTAATAAAGATCTTACTAGTAGTAAAGCGCTAGATCTAGAAGCTAAGAAACTAAAAAGCCTTACTAAGGTCCTTTAATAAGTAGACCTTAGTAAGTATATTATATACCTTTTTAATAGTCTCCTTATTAGTAGTAGCTACTATATTATTATTAATATATATTAAGGCGTAGGTATTAAGCTCCTTATTAATAAAGAGGTAAATTTCTCTCTTAACTAGGTAGAAGCTAATTTTCTTTATTTTACTTTTAATAAGTATAAACTACTATAGTAGTGCCTTATAAAGGCTATAAAGAGCTTTATAAAGTAACTACACCTTATTATTATTAGTAGTATAACTAGTAGGTTAATAAATATAAATATAAGTACTATTAGGTATAAGGGCAGTAAGAAAAGTAGTATTAAAGTTATATATTTTATATACTAATCTATATAAGGTAATAATAGTAAAAAATAGACGTATAGTAGTAGTAGTAGCTATAGTAGTATATACCTCCTATAAAGACTATTTACCTTACTTATAGTTACTATAGACTACTTATTAGGCCTTATATCTAATAATCTTATTTTTTATATTAGTTTTAATATTAAATACCTACTTACTTAAAAGAATTTTTATATTAAAAGGAGGATTAATAAAGGTATAGACCTCCTTATTAGTAAATTATTAGATCTTAGTATTATAAGCCTGCTTTTAGTAGTACTAGTATAAGCCTTTTTTAGCCTTCTTAATAGTAAACAAAATATTATATCTAGAGGGTAGTATACGTAATAAGGCAGTAGTATTAAGTGCGCTAATAAAGTAATAATAGGCGTTATTATAAACCTAAATATCTATAGTAAGATAAGCCTTTTTATTATATTTTTAGATACTAGTAGTATTATAGTAGTAGCCTAGTGGCTTTATAGTGCTAGTATAGTATAGTTAGCCCCCTTTAGTAACTAAAGTGGTAGTAGCCTTAGTAATAAGGTCTAGCTAATCTTCTTTTATAATAAGGGCTAGAAAGTTAGCCTCCTATTACTCTATATTATAAAACTTATCTTTAGTAGTATCTATATTATTAGTCTATTAAGTAAGGTGTATAGTAGAAATAGGTTACTATTAATAATCCTCTAGAGAAGAAGTTATATAGTAGCTATTATTAATACGCTTACTATCTAACTTACTACTATTAGATTAGTTAATTTACTAGTTATAAGACTTTTTAGTAATAAGTTAATATAAGTTAGAAACATAGGCTAGATACTAAGTTATTAGATTAGGCTTATTAAATAGTATATTATAATTAGTATCTACTAAGATAGTAACTCTATTAATAAGGTAAAAAATAGTCTTTTTAGGCCTTTTATAGAAATAAACGTTATAATAGTAAATAACTTACTTCTTACTTAGGATATAGATATAGTAAATATAGCTATATAAAGAGCTATATTTAATAAGGTAACCCTTTATTATATATAGCTTTATCTTTATAAAATATAGGGGGCGCTTACTACCCTTTTTATATATATATACTATATAGCTAAAAGTATAAAAGTGTTTTAATATAGCCTTCCTAGTAGCTGTTATAGTTCTAATAGGATAAAGCTAGGCTATAGTAGTGTTATAAAGTAACGTAGTGTAAAGGTAAAGCGTAATAACAGAGTAGTAAAGTAAGATAAATAATAATAAGAAGCTAAATAAATAATATAAGATAAGATAGGTAATAGATAGTAAGTATATTTATAGTTAACCCTCTTTCTATAAAGGGTTACCTAAATACTTTAAGAGCTAATTAAGAAAGTAATATCTACTATTTCTTATCTCCTCTATATTATAGCCTTATACCTTAAGGTTATTTACCTATATTTTAACCTTACTATTTACTTATTATTATTATTACTTAGGTTAATAGCCTTAGCCTAGCGCTTTTTTTCTTATAGGCCTATAGGGCTACTAAGTTCCTCTACTAGGCAGGGTTACTTATTACTTCTACTACTTAACCTTATATTACTAATAACGCTTTAGGTAGTAGTACGTATCTCCTACTAGAGGTAAAGTGTCTTTATAAGTAAGGTAACCTAATCTTATAACTATTTAAAATCCCTAGCCTTAAACTTATTAAAGGCGTTAAGATTATTTACTTTATAGTTAAGGTTCTTAACCTTATTTTTAATAGTGTTAACTTATTTCTTAATATTATTAATTTAGGCTACTTACTAGTAAATCTTTTTAGCTTTAGTATATAAGCTTTTTCTAATAGCCTTATTAATATTACCTTATACTACTATAGCTACCTTAGCCTTATTAATAGCTATTACTAAAGTAGTAGTGTTCTTTATATTCTTATAAATTAACTTAGTATACTTATTAACTTTAGTAGTAAGGTTAGTAACCTAGTCTTCTAGCTAGTTAATTAGGCGTAATTAGCCCTCTATATAGTAAGTATACTAAATTTCTAGTATAGAGATATAGTTTAGACGCTAGATAAGTAAAAAGGTACTTATAACTTTAGAATTACTTTACTTAGGTTAGTATAAGAATATAAAGCTAATTAGCACTATATAACTAGGGAGTTCCTTAGACTATAGTTTACTTTCCTTATAATTAGTAAAAATAGTATCTATAAGGGCTATAATCTACTATTAGAAGTACTTATCTAAGGTTAAGGAGGTATATAACTATTTAGTATTAAAGCTTTATTAGCTTATATAGAAGCGCTAGACCTAGACCTTAGTCTCTTTATATAGTGTTTAGTTACTACTACTATAAAAGGCTTTATTAAGGTGTGTAATTACTTTTTCCTTAATAAGGATTATTAACTCCTTAGTAGCAGACGTGTTCTTATATAAGGTAGTAGGTGCTTTTACTTTAGCTACTATAGTAACCTTTTTTACTATTTTATTTCTAGCCTTCTTAATAGCGTTTTATTTAGTTAATAGCACGCTATCTTAATTAAGTATATTAAGGTATTACTTAATATATTTATAAAGCTTATTATACTTCTCTTATTACTTAACTATTTTTTATTACTAAATATATTTATTAGCCTCCTTAGTCTTATTATATATATTATCTAGAAGTTTAATTTCCTTAGTTAGGACTTTAGACACCTTAAAGTTCTTACTACTTACCTTATTATTATTAGAGTTAAGGTTAAGATCTATATTACTAGCGTCCTTATTACTATAGTTAGGGTCCTCTATAGTAGCCTTATTATTTTAGCCTTTCTTACTTATACTACTTATACTAGTGTCTAGTTAGTTATTATCCTAAGCTAAGGGATTAATAGGGGTAAAGCTAGGTCTTATAGTGCTACTACTACGCTTCTTTATAAGCTACTAATTACTAGTAGCACTAGCCTAGGTAAGGTAGTTAATATACTTAGATATCTTATTATTATTAACGTCTTTATTAATAAATTTATTAAAGTTAAAGGTGTCTTAGTTAAGGATGTCTTTATATAGGTTAAAATTACTTATAAAGCTTTAGGTTTTCTTAATAGTGTAATTATAAGATTACATGTTATACTTATAATTAGCTTTTAACTACTACTAGCGTTATAAAAAGTAAAAGTAAATTATAATATAAAAGATAGTAGTAAATTATAAAGAAAAGTAATAAGTTAGATAGGTTAAAAAAAAAAAAGAAAATAGTAGTTATAGGTAGGTAGGTTAAAATATCCTCTAGCTGTTAACTATAGGTATAAGTAAGGTAGGTGTAGTTACTTATTTTAAATAGTTACTCCTTTTATTTCTTTTAACTATTAATAATATGTAGTTATTTAGGTCTTCTTTTACTACGCTATTATATAATTTAATAAAAAGAGAGTGTTAGCATATTAAAGGTGTTATTTTTTCTTATTAAAAAGAAGATTAGAAAACAAAAGTGTTATTAAGAATAATAGTATAAGGCTAAGTATTACCTTACGTTATTAGGAAGGATTATAATAATTTAGGTATTATTAGTAAGGGGTTCTAGAGGAATTCCTCTAGGGCTAGTTTTTAGCCTTATTTCTTTACGTATTC